TTTTATTCACCTATATACAGAAGCAAACACCATAAAATATGCCCAAAAAAAAAAATAGTATCAGGTAAACTTTTTTTTTTTAATTTTCAGGTACACGGTTATCTTTTATTTAACTAATGTACTACTCCCACATACAATTTATTTATTTCTTACCTCTGTGTTATTAGGGCCAAATGCTGGGAAGGCCGCTAATGCAGGGAAAATTATTCCACTTTCTATGAAGATTCTATAAAGGTGCACTTTCAGCATTTGACATAAAGACGTAAAAAGACAGAAGTGTTCCCAGCACAAATGGGCATCTATGTATCCACCTTTAAAGAAATGGCTGAAATTTGCCCTGCCTTGCTTCAATTCACATCTTCAAACATCTCACCCAGGACATATTACTTGCAGGTATTTTTTTTAAAAGAAAATATCTAGAAAACAGTAAGTACTCTAGCTTACGAATGCTCGCACATGCAAGCTCTGTGATGTTTTCAGTGGGACTGAACTACTCACTGGAATGAAAATTTACAGGATCACTGTTTTTAAGAGGACATTTAAGTGACACCGGTCCATCAGTTAGTAAAGAATTCACCCTATAATAACACATTTTCTCCTTATAGAACAGAATTCACCCTATAATAACACATTTTCTCCTTATAGAACAGAATGAAAGAATCAGATCTGAAACAATCCTAAATCTAGTAGCCTTACCAGGTTATTTAAAAAACAAACAAAACACATCTACATTATATACTGTTGGAATATACTATACATTGCTGAACACCACACCCCCCAGGTTTGGGGTTTTTTTCAGAACTCTATTAATTGAAAACAATGATTTGTTTTCTCTTTTGTCAAATGTAAAAAGCATAGAGTTTGTCTTTAAAATATAGTTGTCAAATATCAAGGGGTATATATATGCTAACATTTACCCTAAGGGTATTTCAGGGCTAGAGTCTGTTACAAATAAAATCTTTATTCATATGAACAGCTACCTGGGGGGCAATACTGAATGTTACACATAATATTTATATATACATATTTACAATAATCTAGCAGTGCTATTAAAACAAACTGGAAGCTACACCGCATTTAGTCTCTCCATTTTGCAGATCTAAGTCTTATGCTACTAACTTTTTTGGTTTTGAATTACTTTCTGTAAAGGACAGTCGCTAAAATGCCAAATGCTTTTGCCTAGTGTGTCATATCAACTGTTTTATTATTTGAAATTTAAAAGACTGTTCATGGTAATAAAGAATAGAATTACAGAAAAAAGAAAAGCAATCTTTTTTTTTTTCATTAAATTCTGCAACATTATTTTCAAATTTGAGAAGTCTCTTTGAATTAAGAAGGAAAAAAAAAGGGCTAAAAAAATTCTTTTTTTGTTACGTGCTTTCTAGAATTACTGAATACTGACTGTGTGCTATGGAAAACAACTTTAGACGAGATCAGACATCTACATTTATCAAAAGAGTTTAAGCTGTCTGAAGCGAGTTGGGAGACAAAGCAGACAACGCAGCAGCTCTGCAGACTGCCAGCAGCCTGAGGAGGTCACGTCTCTCTGCTGGACCTTCCTAATTTACGGAATGAAGATGATCTTATTCCATCAACCGCTAACAAAACTCTGTAATTGTTGAAAAACTTGTCTAGAGAAAGCAGACAGTAATTCCGCCCTTTTTGAGTACATTTCAAATGCTGTGGTTTGGAAATTGCCACCACAAGGATGAAACTCCTTGTACTAATGCAAAGTCCAAACAGACACCTTCTTTCCAATTAAGGAAAAATCATGTGAGTCTCTATAAAGCAATTAAGAAAGCTCTTAAAAATGCTCAGTTCTGTGGCTGCTGTACATCAATGTATTAGACCATTTCAAGTTTGCTTGCCAAGTAAGCCACCTTTAAAAACTCTCCTTACGGCCTTCCAAGTTGGAGGGACACGCTGCGTGCCTGATCTTCCCCATTCATCAGGGCTTCTGTCCTCCTTTAAGGAGATGAATGAAGACATGAGCTGGTTTAACGACACACTGCACAAATGAAGCCACGAAAACAGAAAAGCAACATTTTTCTAGAGAAACGCAGAACAGCCTTTGCATCGGGGAAATAATATAAATCTGTGCAGTGTTGCAGATAAAATACTAAGTGTCCGATACCTTCCACGATAGCTACATGTGTTCCCCTTGAAGGGTGAGGACATTTTCGCCCTCTGACAACTCTGGGTAAATCTCATTTTTGCACGGGAACATCATTTTATTGCGCACCAAGACATCGGCTGCGTGGTTCACAAAAGTAACATTAGATGCAATTCAACTCAGCTTTGAGTCTTGCTCAAGGGAGTACATGTCTGTTCTCCACTAAGAGTGTTTGCAAGTTCATCACATAAACTTCCTGGTCACTGCAGAGCGTCTGAATTTAACATCTATGATTCTGCACTGCACACTCTGCTTCAAAAGCACTTTTTAAGACTGTTCCTTAACTCACTGAACATCACTTGAAAACTAACAAACCTGCCTCCTTCCCATAATCAGCTTATATGTATAAAAGTATAGATCTTTTAAAACGTATGTATACGACTGCTGTTATAGATGCATAGCAATATCAGACTTACTAGCATCAGTATTATTTCTCATACATACCAGCATCTTGAAATAGAGTTTGAAAATAAAAATTTAGTAATGCAGCTGCATTTCCAAAAGTGTTTGCACTCGAAATATTTGTGACCTTTCTGTATTATTAAATGCACAAATAGAAACAAGGTATTTTTGAAATGTCAAATTTATGAAAATCGCTCGTAAAAGAAAATTTTTATTCTCCAAATAACGTCAATATTATAAATAATGCAAATTTGGTATTTCCCACGACCTCACAAGAAGGCTGAAATATTTAAGCGTGTAATTCAAAACACACACTCTTGCCAGTTACCAATGAGAATTTTGTCTTAACAAACTAATACCTGGGAAGCAGATCTTAAATGGTTACTAGCAAGCTAGAAATACAAGAATCAATGTTAATTTTAATCAATGTCTTTTCTAATAGGAGAGAGTAGTCAGCTGCATTAGGTTGTAGTCTGATGCACTTAGACTTTCAATTTAAGAAAACACTTGAAACATTCAATTACAAAACAAACATTAAAAATGTGCAAGTAAAGTAGAAGGTACCTCTAAATCAGTTTTCCTCTCACCAGTCACATCAGCCCTTGTTCCTAAAATTTTATCCTGCCTGTGAGGATAAGGCACACACTTTCTTAAACATCGCATCTTTGTGAACTTTGACTATTTGATTCTGTCTGATCAAACCCTAACAGCAACAGCAAAGAAAAGCTTTCCTCTCTTTAAGATGCTCTATTGGTTAGATCAGATTTATTTGCTGTCAGCAAAGGTTATATTTGCGCATAAGTCTATGACAGATTGCAAGTTTATTAACTTCAAGTGAGTTTTCAAGCTGCTGGGTTGAGGGTTTTTTTGTTGGGTTGTTGGGTTTTTTTGTGGGGTTGGGTCGTCATTCCCTCCCCTTTCCCCCAAGATGTGGGTTACTTGACAAATTGGAGTTAAGTTATCTTAGGTCAATGTAACTGTAAGTTAAACTAATGAAATGCATGTCTATGAGTGATGTCTGATTAGTTTAATACAGTTAGTGCTGGACAGCTTGGGCTGCTGACCTTGAAGGAACACAGATAACATTGCGATGCGTTGGAGGATGTGGTTGCGATACAAGACAAATTTACATAACAGTTTGTCATATACACTCCTCCAAAACAAAACTGTTGCAAAAGGAAAGCAATAGGAAACCAACGCTAAATGCCTCGCATGAGACAAACCTGAGGAAAATTAATTATAACATTTGGCTTGGGATGGTATCTTATTTTAAATACAAGCCAGAAGCAGGCACAGAAAAGGTGTACATTTATATAGTATGCATTCCAAAACGGATTAGGCTTTGTGTCGGGTAACACTGTTCAAATGCAGCCTTCTGCAGCACAAGATCTACTTTTGAAATATCATATTCCTTCCCCAGCCAACTGTGTCTACTTGCTCCTGGTAACAAATACCAGACCCAGTTCTGAACTGTAACTAGTTAGCGCATCATTTAGGTGTGCTCAGAGTC